CTGTAGAGATGATGGGAATACGGAGCCAGCCAGGCTGCAAAGGGCAAGGTAGTAAAGTTTCTGTATTGGCTTTCCCAAATACTCTGTCCTGAGCTTGGAAATGCTGTCAGTCCAGGTCTGCCAAGCGCATCCAGTGCTCTGGGGCTGCGAACTGTTTGTGTATGCAGCCGGGTGCATCCAGCACCCACCCCAGCTGCATGTGCAAAGTAAAATAAATGATAAAAAAAAACCCCAAACCAGGCTTGTTTAGCATGATCCAGCCCCAGTATGCTTACGCTGCTGCTTGCAAAGCAGCTGAAAAGGGCAGAGGGGCTGCAGCAAGGCCACGGAGGGCTGGGACTGCTGGAGCCCGTCCTGCAAAGGCGAGGGACCATGCTGCTGCGGGTGGGGAGATGGCCTGGGGGCAGCATCCAGCAGCAGAAAGGTCACTAGGAAGGCAATTGTCCTGCTCTTCTCTCCTCTCGAGAAGAGGAGCTGAGTTACTGCGGGGAGGGGGAAGGATGATTGATGAAAGCTTTGTGGCAGGAGACTGCTGCGGGGCCAGGGCAGAGGAGCTCAGCTGGGACGCGGGAGCCTTGCAGGCAGGGGAGGGCAGCTGCCCGGCCCCAGCAGCGCTGAGATGCCAGCGCGCAGGGATCTCAAGTGCACACCAAACCCACACCGACTGCGTGTCACTGCGGGGCCGGGGGGGACGGGTGTCGCTGGGCTCAGCTCCTGGTGAAGCGTGCGTCACCAAGCGCCACGTTTCATGGCCTGATGAAGTGGCGCTCGGCCACGGCGCTGAGCATGGCGGCCCGGGATGGAGGCACGGGGATGGTTTGTGAGTTAGCGCTGCTCCCTGAGGCAGCAAATATCCTGTGCCTTTGCCCCACCCTCTGTGGAGGGGGCCAGGATCCGTCCATGGGCTGGAAAGGCAATGCAATCCCATGGAGGGGGAAATATTTCCCCATGGCTGGGCTGGTTTAAGCCCCCAGGACTCACCCGTGGGGCTCACCCACAGCTCTGGAGGCCACTGCGTGTCTTTAACAACTTCCATGAGGAGTCTTTGCTGAGCCCAGCACATCTCCTAGGTCTTGCAAACGCCCCGTGGGACCTCTCCGGTCTTGCATTTTCCTTGGCCTCTGCAGAGCAGCGGCCTTAAGCTGCCACCCGTGTGCACGGCCACCGACACCCGATGCAAAAGCCTCCTGCCAAGCCCAGCGGTGACTTTCTACCTTTCCCCAGCCAACAGTGATGTCCAGGCCCAAAGGGAGCCGTTGTGGAGCGCAGGGGCTGCAATGTAGTAAATCGGCCTCCGTGGTGCCACGACAAACTGGAGGTGACATGCCAGCCCCCCAGGGAAGGGAGTCAGGACGGGGCGGCGCCAGGCAATGGGGCTCTGCAGGGCGCTGCCGGCAGTGGGGAGCCCAGTGGGATTCAGAAACACGGCGTGCCTTTGGGAAAGGCTGGTGGGAAGTGGTTCAGGCAGTTTGCAAAAATAAACAGGGACCCTCCTCACCTCGCAGCCGGGCTGCCGTCACCTGCCCTGTTCTCCTCCAAATGGCCCTAGTGTTTTACGGTGGTTTTACCCTCCTTCAAATTAGGAATATTTGGGTTCTTTCCCACCAGTGACCTTTTCTGCATCACTTCTATTAGGATAGCAATAGATCATTTCCCTCTGCTGTTCACATACTCTGTTAGGGAAGGAAAACATGGGAGAGCCCAAATCTGATACCAAAATGCAGAGATGGGCTGGCTGGGTTGTGAAAAGCGATGGAAGGCTTGGGCTGGTGGGAGAGACGAGAGCTCTGCGTGCCTGCTCCTTCCCTTCCAGGCACGGCAAAGCTGGGAAAAATTGCCATGAGCTCAAAAAACCCCTCCTGGCCTGGAGACAGCCGTGAAGGGAAGGGAGAAGGCGGGAAGTCCATGGTGGGAAGTTGCACAAGGCATGTTTTGCTCTGAGCTGGCTACAGGCAGCCCAGCGGGTGCCCTGCTGCAGGGGTTCTCCCCATCACGAGCAGGGATGCTGCTTTTTGGCGGGCCTGATGGATAGGCCGGGTTTCTGCATGGGAGAAAAAGAGGAAAGAAGAAAAATGAGTGCAAGCAATCGAATTGTCTAATGGAAATGGAGAAACTTGGAGGGCAGGCAGGATGGGTAGTCAGCTGCCTTGTCCTGCCCTGGCTGCCTGCAGCCAGGAATGCGTCCTTAGGGACAAACACGAACCCGTGTTTGCTGCGGTCCTCTCTCTGATGGTGGAACAGTGTTGCCCCCCCAGCAGACCAAACCCTGGGCATCCTTCCTGCCTCCTCTTCCTCCTGCTTGCTCCGGTACATGTCTCTGTGGGCAGCATGTCCCCCCAGCTGAGTGAGCCCAGTGCTTCCAGCTGCATGGCCCCGAGCATCCTCGCTTCCCTCCAGGGCCGGCTCCAGCAAAGCACCCTCAGAGGCTTTCTCCTTTCCGCTGCAGGCAGGGACCGGCAGGGGAAGGTGTGATAATCCTCTCCTTGGAGGCTACAGTAGTCGTTCACACCAAACTGCAAACATTTTTATATCAGTCATGAAAGACGTGAAAGACAACAAAAAAATATGTAAGTTTTTATATATATATTCAATCAATGTCTGCGGAGCTTAACGCAAGGGGATTACCAGCCCGTTTAGAGCGCTAGTGACTCTCAGCATTCATCAGAGGAGAACGTTTGGTTGAATTGAAGCCAGCCTTTGATGGAATTGGAGAATAATTATTTCCATCAATAATTACTTCCAAGCCCAGAAGAAATGCTTCCTAGCACGTAGCAGGACAAGAATCCTTGGTTGCCTCAAGGCCAATATGTTTTAACCCCAAGACCTGAAAATCCCATTAGTGGGAGAGGGAACTGGGGTGAGAAGGACATCACCCGCCATGCCCAGGTCCCTCCTGCAAGGCAGCGGTGCCCCAGCGTGCCGCCAGCCCGGGGAGGAACCCTCCTGCCTCCGCTGCTGGAGCTGATCCAGCCCAGACTTTGCACAGGTCATTAATTTAGGGACATTTTTAATGGATCCTAATGATTGAGCCTCAGAAGAGTGTTCTTAAAAGGGGTTCAGGAAAGGCCACAAGCTAATTAGCTTGCACAAAGAAAGCAATTAACCATGTAGCTTCCCGGATGGTTAAAAATAACAGATGTTGGGAAGCGACTGGGGGATTTATTACAAGCAGAATAACAGATTTTTAAAGCCAGAGGGATCATCACCTCCTGCGTGTCCTGGGCCAGAAATATTTCACCCAGCTTCCCCCCACTGACTCCTATCACTTGTATTTGGGTGATGCACATCCTTAAATGTTCAGGCATTACAAAATCCAAGAAAGAGTCAGCTATTAGAGAAAGTGGGAGTTTGTTGAGAGAGAAAAATCACAGGTGGAAAAAGAAGGGTGATCCTTCTTCGGCAGGTGCTCCCGTGCCAGCTCCAGCCCCAAAATGTGTTGCTTACGGCTGGGGCAGGCAGCAGGATGTTCCCTGGGGTGTGCAAGCCTCTGGTCACGCCTAACCGGGGCTGAAGTGCCATTATAGCGTCCCATTGCTCTTTGGCCATCCTCTTGGCCGCATTTAACCCCCAAGATGTGCGGCACGCACCTGGTCCTGACCCCTTGTTCCTATCCCCGCAGTTCACGTGTGATGGCTGCGACAGTCTCTGCGGCGCTCTCCCAGCATCCCTGAGCCGCTCTGCCTGCAGGGCTGGCAGGGGGACATTCCAGCCTCCCGCTGCTCCGATGGGCTTTGGCGTGCTGCTCTCCAAAGGGAGGCGGCAGGTCGGGTGGCAGACACAGCAGCGGGACCTTGCAGAGCTAACCTGGGGATGGCCAAACCCCAAAGCGGCACCCACAGCCCATTCCCGAGATTGGCTTCAAAACGCTAACGGGAAGAAACGGGGACACTTTCACTGCCAGCTGAGCCCAGCCCACCACCGGTACCACCCCACAGCCAGGCTGGGCTTGGACATGCCAATGCTTGCTTTATTTGTTTGAGTAATACTCTGGATGACACCAAACCCGCAGCATTCTCAGCGCCCCTGCCGGGTATGGTTTATGGCTCTCTATTAATCTTTCTGTTCTTTGAAATAAACATCTGCAGGGCCTGGAAACCTATTTACTTTCCTCCCGACTGTCTGTGCTCAGGCTCATTTGGGTTTGTTTTCTCCATTTGGCTGCTTTTCTCCATTTCAGCTTGCCCTGCTCAAGACCCCGTGTTTCTTGGAGATCTTTCACCCCAGGCTTTCCCTGACCTGGTTCAGCTCCTCACCAACTCTCATGGTCTCCCCAAAGCTCTTACAGGCACCTGCCTGGCTCAGATGGTTCCCCTTAGCGCTGCTGGGCTGTCCCAGGTTCTCCAGTTTGGTAGCAGGATCAGGTGTGTTTACTGGCCCAACACCCTATTCGTAGGAGTGGGGAGGAAGGCTGTTCTCTGGCTGCCAAAAGTTTGCTTCTACTGAGTGCTGGCAAGGGAGATAGGGTGAAGATGTGTGGCAAGGCATTAGCAATGCAGGTTTGGAGCATGTTATTTGAAATGCAAAAGCTTTTTTTTTTCTTCTGGAGTGCAAGACTAGTGCTGTCTCTGGTGAGCTAAAGCCCACAGCTCAGAGGAAGATGTCCAGGGGTGCTGGTGTGACTGGCTACCAGTGCCCCTTGCTGTTGCGTTGGACCTGGCCGCCGTGCTGTCCCAGCGGTATGGGGCTGTCCAGCTGCTCCTTGGCTGTACAGCGCTCGTGGCATTTCTGCCTGAAAGCCGAGCACAGCACGCCCATGCTGCGGCGCAGCTCGGCTTGGAAACGGGGGTTTTCTGGGGCCCTGTAGGAGCGTTTCCCAGTGCGGGGCTGAGCAGTGTGGGCTCAGGAGGCCTGAGAGAGACCTGCAGCTCTCCTTCACAGCAGCACAGGTCCTACCTGGGGGAAGGAAAGGGGATTCCCCAGTACACAGGAACCTTCAGCCACCGAGCCCAGCTGAACGGGCCGTCCTTTATCGCTCCCTTTCTCTCCTCTCGCTCCTGCAGCGGGACGCTCAGCTGCCTGACGTACCCTGCGGAAGACAGGCATCCTGAAAAGCTGAGTGGCCGCACAGTCAAGGAGGCCTCCACCACCAACGGCTGTACGAAAGGGAAGGAGAGACGAGACCACGCTCACCGCCGGCCACGCAGGTAGGAGCCAGGGCTGTGAGCGGGGTCACCCCAAAGCAGTGGGATGGCAGAGGAGGCATCCTGTGCCTGTTTACCTAGCCCTTCTGGGGGGTTTGTGAAAGCTGGGGATGGCTTAAATGTCACTGTGAGTGTACATCAAATGTATGAAATTTGTATGAAACCCCTGCGCATGTTTGTGGGGAGAAACCTGCAGCTCGTTTCCACGCCACGTCTCGCTCGTGCAGCCTCCTTGCAAGTAGCCCTGGCTGGCGGACAGGCAACCTGCCAGCATCCCTGCGTGCTACCAGGTCTGCAGGGTACCCCTGGCTGGGCATCACCTTCAGCAATTCCCCTATCCCCGCGCCTAGGTCAGACCGGCAGCATCGGCTTCGTTAGGACACAGCTTCGTTATTCATTCATCGTTAGCCCCTGACAACTTGAGAGTGGAAAAATGAATCAAACGTTGTAAATGAAGCGGCTAAGGTGTCTGAGCCCTGCCTGCTAAACTGTCTCTAGGACTAAAGCCTCTCCATTTGGTTAAAGATGCTGGAAAGAAAGAGCAAGAAAGCACATTTCATATCTTCAGATTTCAGGCTAACCGGAACAATAATCTAAAGTGTATTTTTAATTGGACTTTGATCACAATCGCAGAGAAACAATTAGAATCAGATCAGTGCAGGGAGAAAGCTTTCACATCAAAGACAAAGGCTTTATCTTGTGAGAGGGAGAATGGCTCTACAGAAACCGCCTGCAGCTGCATGGCACAGTCAGAGGTTTCTCCCCGCTCTCCCTCGGCTGTGGCAGTGTCTGGCCGTGGCCCTGGGCGAGGATGGGCTGAGACATACCCAGACCTGTTTGCTGGGTAGCCCAAATCTGTGCTAGGGGAAAGCGTGTGGGATTTGGAGTTGAGCATCCTGATTACTGAGGGGCTGAGACCGGTGTTCAGGTCCCTGGTCTCGCACAGACCCTTAGGGTGGCTTTGGGGAGATGTCTGAGCTTAGTGACAACGAGCTGACTTGGCAAACACATTTCTTCTACCATAATGCAGAAAAAAGACCCGCCGTGCCCAAGGTGTGCCATATATCCTGGCAACGCTTCTGCCAGTTCGTAAAATCCTTGGGGGGAGAAAGAGTGGGAAGGAGTATCTGGGTGCTCCTTGGAGCCACAGTGCGGTTGCACCTCGGATTTACTGCACCTGAAACAGTTCACAGCCAAAGCATTAATGTACAGTTTCGTTTTGCAGAGCAATTTGAAAACCAAAAAGGGTGTATTCAAAGCACTAAGTAATTGCCTGTTTATGGTAGTGTGATTCTGGTAGTAATTCAAGCCCTGGGTGAGCAAATGTTGGGGGGTAGCGGAGCCCGAGTCCCCTCCACCACTGACAGATCAATGTGCCATGACATTTGCTGTGCGTTAGGCCTATTATTAAATACAATGCTTATTTCTTCTGCAGAAACTGTTCAATTTTTGGCCTGTTTCCATAGTGAAGATCCCGAGGTGTTTTCTGAACACAGGGCTGCCCTTGCGCATTCCCCACTAGCGGCGACTCCTGCCAGCGCAGCGAGAAGTGGGGAAACTGAGGCACAAACCCACGGCCTTCATTTCCAACAGTGTCTGCCCTTTCCTTAGGGTTGCCTGTCACCAGTTTTGCAGAGGCCCTGGGGAGCTGGCTCTGTCCCCTGCGAACCTCGCCCCTGGATCCATTTGAGGATCTACAGGCAGATCTGGGGATCAGTAGGGATCAATTTGGGGATCTGCAGGCTGCTGCCAGCTTCCCCCATCTTTATGAACATTTGCTTTGGTTAATGAGTAGCCACAGAGTATCTGTCATATTTTCATCCCAGTGCTCTGAATTAATTTAACAGTGGTATTTGCTTTTCATTTAAACATAACGAATTCAGTATCGTGTGTTTAAAAAAGAAATTAATTTACAAGAGGTTTAACAACTGTAAGAGATGCATATCTCATTGAATTACCATAACATCTCAATAAATATATATTTCTAATCAATTGCTATTTAACATATGTCAAGTTTTTTGTTATGGTTAGATGCATCTGGTTGCAATAATTATTGTATGCAAACTAAATGCCTATTAATTATTTAAAGCATATTTACAAAGAGCAACAAAACCTATAAATCTGTTCCAGAGTTGTTAACCTCAGCAAACATGTTTTAAATAATCAGCCAGCGTCGCCGTGGTGTACAGTAGCTGCCTCATTATATCTCCATTAGACCCATGGAGGAGACACTTCATTTAAACTGTGACCAAATTATTCGTTAGAGGGTAATTAGCCACTCGCCTGCGCCCCAGGTCCCCTGTGAAAACTGATCTCTCTGCCCCAGATGTCCCTGAGGTGGGGACAGGAGAGGGCAGTCCCATGTGAGCTGATTCAGGTCTTATTTTTATTATTTTAAATTTTTTTTTTTTTTTTGCTTTTCCCCCCTTCCTCAGCCCCTCGTGCGATGGGGAGCGTGCGCCGCCACCAGCCCGGGGGAAGAAGAAGAAGAAGAAATCGGGCCGCAAGAAGCGAAGGAGGTGAGGGCGGCCATGGCGGCGCGTGGGGCGGGAGGGGACAGGCAGCCCTCGGCCGTGCGGGAGGGACGACAGTCGGTGAGGAAGGGAGGCTGGAAGGCCTGCGGGGAGGTGCGAGCGGCTGGGGGTTTCCACAGGCCCAGGGAGGTGCCGCCATTTTCTCGCCCGCCATTTTCTCGCCCGCCATTTTCTCGCCCGCCATTTTCTCACCCTCCCCTCAGGGCAGCAGAGGCCATGATGGGGCTCAACCCACCGCCTGTCCTGGGAGCCGCCGGCCCCTCTCTGCCCTGGGGAGATGCAGGTGGGGGTGGGGTAAGGGTTGGGGGGGCTGGGGAGAGCCCCCCTAATGCCCCTCTGCCTCCTCAGGTCTCCCTCCTATAGCCCCTCGCCTGTGAAGAAGAAGAAGAAGAAAAGCTCCAAGAAGCGAAAAAGAAACAGGTATTTTTCCCTTGACGATGTACTTCCCTGCTGGCAGCACCTGTCGGGAGGGGTTTGGACAAGGGGTGGAAGGGTCTGGACAAGGGGTGAAAGACATTACTGCCGTCGGGCAGCTGGTCGAGCCCAGCGCCAGGAGGCAGAGAGGGGCATCAAACTCCTGCCTCTCAATAATGGCCCCCCAGAGGGCAGGGTCCCGCTGGGAGGTGGAAGCCGGGCAGCCGAGCAGAGGCAGAGCTGGCGTCCCTCTGGGCAAGGAGGGCACAAAATGGGGTGCACACCCAGTGCAAGCGGATAAATACGAGCTGTCAGGGTGTGGGGGAGGAGAGACAGACGAGCCAAACCAGCATGAGGTCTGCAGAGCCTCCACCTGCTGTCCTTGCTGTCTTGTTTCACGTGGCTCCCATCCTCTGGGACACCAAGAGGATCTTTGCTTGGGGCCTGCACCAGTTCCTTTCTATCCTCCCCCAGCCTGCAAAAAGTGTCAGTGTTTGGACCAGGAAAAGGCTCGGACCAGCTCCCTGCACCCACACCTCAATCTTCCCTCCCAGCCCTGGGTGACTGCCTCCACGTTCCACTTCTGAAGCCCATTTTTAATTTAAAGAGCACAATTAAATTTTAAAATTGCAAATATTTCACTGTTTTCTCTCAATGATAAACCAATATTTGAAGAGAGCAGTGGATGCCATCTCCCTTGGAAAGTTCATGTATTTATAATATATTGAACCAAGTGAGAAGCTACCAAAAATGGATAACGGTAAAAAATTGAGCTTGAATCTTAAAGAAAAGGAAGGGAGGGAGGAGGAGAGACAAGGATATAGAAATTCCTTTAAAATATTTCCTTCCCGAGGAGGGATTCTTATGCTCTTTTATGGATGCCATCTCCTGATGCAAGTCCTGGGTCAGATGCTCCTTGGCTTTGAACCTTCAGTAGTACACTTTTACGCCCTATAGGCCAAGGATAAGATGTAGCTGGTCCCAAAAGGTAGCATGATAAACCATTAAGCATTAGTGACCAAGGGAGGTTGTCTTCAGACAGCTGGTAGCGCTTCAACTACAGATCTCAACCGACCTTGCGACAGGCAATCTCATGGCCCCTCTAGGCAGGGCTCCAGGCGATGCCTTCTGCAGGTGGTTGTGCTCCAAGCTGAGATGAGACACGACAGGCTGGGAAGTGTACTGGGACCAGGCCTTGCCACAAGGGAGACTGTCCTCCATGCTCCCAGGGTTTTCTATGAGGACCACCAGCACAGTGGCTCCTGTGTCATCCCAGGGATGCTCCAGAAGGCAAGACAGAGGCATGACGCTGGTTTGGCTGTGAGGCTGCTCTGGAGTTATAAAGAAAGGATTTTTCCTTTGACTGCTACTTGGTCCTTCATATAGAAAACCAGGGAATAGACTCACCTCTGCCCTCTCAAACTAAGTGCAGTGCAAAACTGTGGAGGCAGTAGCAGAGAAAAGGGACCCGTGAGGGACATGGGATATATCTGGTCTCTGTAGACTTGTTATCCTGAGGATCATATTCTTAATTTTGTAGAGTGTGTTAGTCACTTCTACCACACCAGCATTTCTCAGGTACCACCTTGCCAGCTGGCTAAAGGGCAACCAAGGCCATTCTGCCCAGCTGGTACATGAGGTCTTCTCACAGTGCTCAGTCTAACACAGAGCCTAAACACATTTTTTTCTGATTCAAATTTCCAGTTTTGTGAGATTCTGTATTCAACGTACATAATTGTGTCTTGCAGGTTATCCTCAAAGAAGAGAAGACACAGGTAAGAGTTGAGCAAGTGTGGGTGGCCCTTAGACATAAGAGTTTAATGGTCTTTTCAGGATCTCACAGTTTGATGTTCACTGGGTGGGGGCAGAAGACACTTTCCTTCTGTGTGTCCTTGTGAAATCCCCTTGGCTGCCCTCTTTCTCTCCGAGTCTGGGGCTACACTCTACCTATTCAGACTTACACATTTCACAGCCCCCACAGGAATCGGGTCTGCAGCCCAACTTGTGCAATCAAGCACATAACTGGAATATACCTCTTGGTATAACCGCATTCATGTTGCATCCATCCTGCATCTTGAGCCTTCATTTCCCTTATGGTTTCGTTTGCAAACAGCATGGCATCCCCCAGCAGTGCCCATCTTTGAAACATTCAGAGTCAGTGGCTTTTCAGGTGTGTACTGGAAGAACTCTCTTGATTCCAGTACGTGTGCACACGGTATCAAGAAGTATTTATCTTCTCTATGGGGAAAATGCAAAGTCACCAGGATGGCTGACCCCTTTGAGGATCCTTTTTGGCCAAGCCCACGAGCCAGATTTGTGAGCAGGCGCTCAGACCCCCTGTGCCGCGGCAGAAACATTAATCCCTTTCATTTTTATTGCACGCTCTTGGGCAACCTAGCTGTAACATTGATGTGTGATTGTGCAGCTTTTTATCAGAACAGAAATCTCTGAATTAATTAGCCATTTCTTATTTAGTTCTTCAAGCCCCAAAAGTAAGAGAAAGGAAGAAAGAAAACACAAAAAACAGTAAGTAGCAATTCATGGAGTTCCCCGCCCTGCCCGCACAGAGCTGTGGGGCTAGGAAGTGCTTGACGTGGTGGGTCCCCTGGAGCTAACACCGTCTGCGCAGCCCTAAGTAATTCTCAGAATTATTTCACGGCTAAAACCAGCAATTCTGGTTGCTGGAGTGGAAAAGGGTTTGTAGAGGCTGGAGAGCTTTCCTCTCCCTCTCTTTTGTGCCACCTCATTCAGTACTTTATTTGTAGCTCTCAAAGATGTACAGTCTTGCTCATCCAACCCTAGGCAAAGACCCCAGCTTTTCTGATGGGGCCAGCACAAGAGGATGAACTCAAATCTGCACAGCACAGTGTCCCACAGCCTCTGCTGCCCAAAGAGCAGGCTGGCACACCCTTACTGAGAAGGGCCTTAGCTCCTCCTTGTTCTCTGCTCTTGGAGGTTACAGTAGGGTCTAATGACATACAGTACAACCAAATATCTGAATGGGAGCAGAAGGCAAAGGGGACTAGGGAAGAGAAGGGATTGTTTGGAGGCGATGGAGGTTGTAAAAATCTGGGGCTGAGGTTCCCGTGTGCCCTGGAGTGTTAGCACAGTGCAATCCTTGTCCTATGGGGCAGGCAATCAAGGGGTATGGCATAAAACGTGCTTCCTCAGGGCTGGAAGGAAGGCCTGTAAGCCCCCTGTTTTTCACTTCCTTCCCTGTCTTCTCTTTGGAATTGCAACTTGTGGCTTCTCGCCTGCTTTCAGAGCAAGGAAACAGTTCTGGGCCTCCCTGGGCTCCCCAGGTTACCCGTAAAAGCAGGCATTTCTCCACTGTATCACTGGGCAGTATGCAGTAAGCCTAACAGCGTGGTTAAAACAAAGATCAGATGCCCTGCTGGTGTGCACTGACCTAGGGGAATGACAGCTGCTAGAATTGCTCTTTGGGAATAGACCAGCCAAGGTGTTTTAGCCCTCATCTTTCAGCTCACAAATCAGAGCTGAGCCACTCCCGGTTGCTGTAAACCTTCTTATTGCTCCTGAGCGTGGATCAGATAGATGGCATGAGCCGTCTCTGATCAGGATTTTTCTATAATCACACTGCTTTGGCTTATCTTAGTGTCGAGCAACTGGTTATCTAAATCATACAGGACCAGTTTTTCCTCCTGCAGAAAGGGAAAATGCTTTAAACTGGAGGGACTGATGGAGAGAGTGAAGAGCAAACATGGCGATTTTCACACAAATCCACCCAAGGAGGGAGAGCTGTTCAGTGTTGCTGATTTCAGCTGTATGGAAATAAAGAAGGAGGATCCCAAAACGTGAAATGTTTAAAAATATAATCACAGGGTGTGAAAAGCATCAGAGAGAACAGCCAGGCAGAGTTCAAGCAATTACACTGGAAGTTGCCCTTTTGTCTTAAAGGAGATGCCGTCCTCGAGCAATTGATTTGCTGAGGTTTTTACAGCAGCAAATTGCTAAATGCTGTCCAAGCCGGTCGTATTAGTGCTGTCAGGGATGGGTAGAGTGTGGCCGTGAAACCAGAGCGTTCCCACCAGCTACCCCACCGCTAGCTTTGCCTGCTGGCACGGTGATGCCAGCCCGAGCAGACGGTCACGCTACCAGATCTAAAGTAACTGCTGCGGTGGGCCACGATGAGAGGGAATGAGCACAGAAGGTGACAGGTAGCCTGCCACCCACATCCCGCCGCCGTCTGCGTCCCTGCGCACGGTTTGCTGGTAACTGCCCTTGGCCCTGTCCGAAAAGGAAGCAGCAGTGACTGGACACCTAGAAGAAGCCAGGTAAAATGGTCCTGCCCCTCAGGCAGGAGCTGTGCCTAGGGCAAGCTGCAGTTAGGGGAGCTGTGCTTCATGTTTGTGGAGCAGCCACAAGAGCTGCCCACAGGACTGGCTAGACCCTCCCACCTGGCGAGCCTGGGGAAGGCTGGCTGTTACCCAGCGTGCTGTGCTGTTTGGAGCCTGTCCTGCATCCGCTTTTTAACAGGGAGCCTGCCCTGCGGAGAGAGTTGGAGCAAGAAGGGCGAGGGTTGGAACTTTGCGATGGGTTGCCTGGAGGGACAACGAGGCTCAGCAATGGGAAGGTCCCAGGCTGTTTTCTGGCTGTCTTAGGGTAGGCTGCCGGATGAAGGGCAAGCAGGTGAGCAGGCAAGAACTTAGCTCCTGAAAGCAGAAAGGATTGGTGCTGTCTGCCGCACTCCTGCATGCGGGTCCATAGATCTTCCCCCAGCAGGCCACAGAGCCAACCGAATAGCTTGTCATTAAAACGCTAGCGGAGATCTTGGTCAGATGGTTTGCCTTAATGTCGGTGTAGCTGTGGAGGGGTGGAGGATTTCTCATGCCTTGGTGTCCTGCCGACGTTTCATACGCCAATCGCTTTGGTTTAAAACACAGATCTCCTTTCTGACTCGAATGTTATTGACTTCAGCCTCCAGCTGCTGGCTCTTGCACCCCCCAGCCTGCTAGCCTAACCGTGTATTTCTCCTCTGCTTCTTAAAGCTCTCGTGGGCGCACACGGAAATCTCACCGCCATCGCCACCGCCACTGCCACTCTCGCTCAGAGAGCTCCGACTCCCACTCCCCCAGCTGCCGAAGCAGGTAACGTCGCCGCTCCCTGAGCCAAGTGTCCTGCCACGCTTCCTGGTGGGCTCAAGGGTGTGAGTGCAATAGCCTGACTGACCCACAGACTCTCCGTGCAGAGCCACATCCCAGTTGGTAGCAGCTATGTCACATACCCAGGGGTTGAGCTGCTTACGGTCTTGGACACGGAAGGGTTTTGCCTCAAGGAGCGGTGGCTGCAGCTTTTCAGTCCAGCAGTCACTTCTAATCCTCGTGGCCAATGATCAGCCCGTGACAGCTGATTCCAGCCTAGTCTCCCTTCCCCCAGCCCAAGGGCTCTGTATTGCTGATGTCTCAGGAAACCCTTAAACATGATAGTAGCAAGGGAAATAATTTGCCCATGGCAACCTGTAGCCACTGTCTTTGACCTGATTAAAATCTCTGTCCTGTGGATGACAGATGCATCCTGGGGCCAGCTAAGTGTATGCTGGTGCTAGACTCGGCATCGCTGCAATAGCAAGTTGCTTAGTTTATACACATCATGAGTTCGTGTTTCACGTTTTCTGAAAGCACTTGAACAAGCCACCCCCGCTATCCCGCTTCACTCCTCCTGACTACTGGGAATTTTCTTATGAGAAGCTGATGATCAGTGGGGGGAGGAACGCCATCAGTTGGAGGGCTGTAGATGCAGGAGCAGAACAGGTCTTCTCTTGGAGGTGTGTTACCACGGGGACATTCAAGACTCTGTGGAAGCACGGTTTGCCTTGAGCCACCATAAAATCATGAATTGGAGCTGAAATTTGAGGTTCGGGTCCAAAGCCTGGATGCAAAATACTTTGTTAAAGAAGTAGAAAAGCAAACTCCCCCTGCCTTTTCTCTCCATCATGACTCCACAGAGCAGTCATGTGGAAGACTTTCTCTCACATGCAATGGCCTAGCACAGAGCTGCCAAGAGTTTGCATGGAGCTGGTAACGGGCGTTCCTGCAATACCGAGGAATAACGGTTTGGCTGTTCATCTCTTCTGGAGGCACAGAGCCAGGTCTCGGGAGGAAGGGCGTAAAACACGGCGAAGACACTCCCGGCACCATTCAAAGATCATGGCAAAGCGAAGCTCCTCTGCAGAGGTTCAAGCCAGCCAAAAAGCCAGCCAAACCCTCCCGCTCTACAGCTTCCTGTCTCCAAAGGAAGTCGTAAGTATTAGATGCTGAGCTGCTTTGCTTGAACTAGCCACAGGAGTCTGGGCAAGAAATCGGATATGAAATTTTTATAACTCAATTATAGCTATGTTAGACAAAGTTGGCTAAAACTGTATTATTTATTAATAGTGCTGTTCTCCAATGTATTTAAAGTCATTCCTTCCTTCAGCACTTTCACACCAAGGGTGGGGCTGGAGAGGGGGGAAATTTGCGAAGGCTTTAGCCTATGAATAATGAATTGAGGACATTTAACCAAAAAAAAAAGTGGCCTCCAGCAATGATATTTTACAGGGAATTTTGTTATGCAGTCTTTGCTCAGCTGGATGTGAACTTAATTCACTGGTCTTCATGTCCAAAAGTTTAGTTCTTCAGGGGAAGAAAGGGAGTCAAAAATATATAAAACAAACATTTACATTTAATGAGTTGGTGATTATTGGCAGGGGATGTTTTCTGACTATCAGGATCCTTCTAGGATCTGGACTGACAAGCCCAGGGGCCAAATTCAGAACTTAGGAGCAGTTCTCAGTGATGCTAATGGGAACTGCATGTGCAGCCAAGGGTAAAATCAGGCTCAGTGCCTTGGGATGTTTTTCCATATACATGGAAAGAGGTGATATAATACATGCCTTAGAATTGGGGGAGCAAGAGATGGAGAGGAATATTAGATGCAGACTGAGATGAAGTCTTCCTTTTCCATGGTGTGTTTCCCCTTTGTTCCCAGTAGCTGCAACACAGAGGTGTGATGTTCTTTGATTGTGGTGTTAATATCCGATAGGCATTCTGGAGGGATAAACTGCTACATAGCACTCAAGGTAGTGCTGAACCTGGCACTCACATGTGTGGATGTGTAACGTTAGAGCCGCCTTGAGTACAGAGACCTCCAAGCCCTGGAGTGGTACGTAGTGGGGAACTGGTTTTCTCCTTTAGGCCCAGTCATCAATTGGAAATAGCTCAGCCACATGCAGTAGCCACGACAGATATGAGATAGTCTCTCATCTTGCTGGCACTATCTCATATCTATCTGCTCACCTTCACAGACAGCATTCCGATCAAAATACACAGAGATGATACCTGGGTGCAGACAGGCACAAACTGTCTCTCGATATCATAGATCTGCATATTTCCTCTCATTATATGCATCTACTGAGCGTGTAGTGCATACGTGAGTCATTGCTTCTAAAACCATATAAGGTAGAGTGAAGAGCAGAACTTGCACACCGCGCTTAGATGCGTGTGTGTGCGCGCACGTGCAAAGAAAGGGTCACGAGGTACAAAGATTTTATTGCCGTGAGCCTGGGGTGTTGCCCTCTGTCAACTGGGGAAGGTAGGAATGAGTTAAGGGCTCCTCCCAAAAAGCAACCAGCCAAAGATGGCGTCATGTCACCAGGGTGTGTTTTGGTTCAAGCTGCGTATTTTACAGAAATGTTTTCAAGTCTAAGCCTGGTTTTTAATTGGTACTAGGTTTCCTCTCTCTGAAGCCAGGCTCCCCGAGTCCTGTGAGGCCGACTGCCAGCTGTTCTGTTCCCTGAGCAAGAGTAAACTCCAATTTAAAATTGTGAAAGCTTTAAAATGAGCTAAACTCAAGCATGCTGCACTCCCCTTTCGGCTTGCTTCACTCGGGGTAAACGAGCACACAAGCTGCAGGGCAGGGAAAATTGGAGCTTTACAGTTACAGATGCAGGAGGCGGATGCAAAGCAAAAGTCTCCAGGCCCCTGCTGCATTCTTTCTAGCAAGGGTTAAAAACACAGGCAAATATTTCGATGACTAAAAGGCATCAGTACCTTTACTATGCAACCCACTGGTGTCCTTTGTTCCCAAAAAGAAGTATGCTCTCTTGGGACATCATTCAAGAGCACATTTAAGCACTTGTTTAAATTGAAGCCCCTGGTTAAGTGCTGCCCCTGAAATTTTTCTGAATAATGTCATTAAATATCAGGTATTCAAAACTGGCAAGGGAAGAATGGAACAGGAACTTTTAGTCTCATTTATTAATGACTATACACAAGTCTTTGATGCCTCTCCTTTTTGTGAGTTAAATGGTTGCTCTATAAATAAGCTTAGTTCTGTCAGAATTTACTTTGAGAGCAGCCTGGATGTGTTAGAAATGAGAATTTGCTCTTGCAGAAAATGTTGATCACATATGAAAAAAAAAAAAAAATTACTGAAAAAGAAACGATTTTGTGGAAAATTCCAGAACTGGCACTCAGAAACGATGGAGTTTGTCCTCTATGGAGGGTGGTGTGTCACACTCCCGACCCTTCCCTCTGGCCTGGGCTTCCAAGCCAAACCGCCTTTACCTGGGGAGGTGCCTTGTCATATCTCCAAAGGGAAGGGGTTGTGCAGGGAGGATCCCAACGAGCAGAGCAGACCCAGAGAAGCAGTACACAAGCTCCCACAAGGTAATGCTATAGCGCTTCCAAATCAAAGATTTTTGCTTTTTAAGCCAGTTCTTATTCTACTGGTTGTCTTCTGAAAATTTGAAGCATTCTGTGGTCAATTCTGCCACCCCCCAGGCTGTTTTCCTTCCTTTCTACTGGAACAGCCACAGTTTCTAACTAGGTCTACCTGTAATTTCTGAGGGATAAAGCATAGAAAATAGCACCCTGCCCGTGCAGCCACCTTGCTGCTTCTTGCCCTCTTGCCTTTATGCATAAGTTGGTGCACGCACACATCCACACGCATGCACACATGCAGAACCACCCCAAGCTTCCCTGCTACTCTTCTTCTTGGCAGTGAATTTCCAAGCTTCTCCCTCTCATTCTCCCTTTAATGCCACGCGGCTGCAATAGCCACCTCTTGAGATCAGGGTTGTGGATCTGTGCCTCAGCATGCAGAGAGACTGTGGGTAATATGCAGCATCTATTTTTTTTTTGAACAGAATACCCCTAACCCGCACCAACACAGATGTATCACGTGCCACTGCGCTTCCAGTTGAACGGTGCAATATAAATACCTGCAGGGTATGACTCTAATTGCCTTTGTTGTACCTGATGGAGATAACCGCACGCTGCACGCGCTGTCTTTGCCAGCTCCTTCCCTTGAAACTCATTTACAGTGTCACAAATTAGCACAGGCTTGAGCCGGATTGTCAGTGAGGCTCAGTGGGGTACCGCTGTTTCAAACGATGCTGTTTTTCCTTCGTGCTCGTGTGTCTGCAGAAAAGTAGAAGTGGGGAAATACTGCGCAGGGGCTGGGACAGGGTATGCAGGAGGGCTCAGGAAACCCTGCAGCAGACCGGCATATTGGCTTGCTGTTGCTCTCTGTTTTCTAGCCTGGGTTTTGCTTTACATGGGAAAAGCTATTGTTGTCACTGTTAGGCAGCATGTTTCTGGCAGCAAACAAAACCAAAGAAAATGGGCCCTTAAAGAGCAGAGAGGCAGAGCCTTCCATAAACATGGAAGTTGTTTGCTTTTTTTTGCTTTTCTTTTTCTCCCCTCCCAGCCAGGGGATTGAGGCTACCCCTGGTTATCGTCTGGTAAACTCACAGCTCAGCTCTAGGACTGCAGGGAGGCCAGCAGCCTGGGGTGAAAGAGGGATGGCTGCAGCCGTTGGAGGTCTGTGCTGTACACCAGGTACCAAAGGAGGTGGTGGAAGGCAAACCTTGCTCCGAAGTTGTGCCAGCCCGGCCCGAGCCGAGGTGGGGACACCCTGGCCTGTGTCTCACACACTGGCTGCAGCCCAGCAGGCTGGAAAGAGTCTTTGCAAAGGGAACAAACCTTTGCCTGGCGTTCTCGTGGGTTTACCCCCCAGCAGTGGGTCTGTGAGCCAGGTTGCCCAGCAGTGTTTCCATCCAGCCCCAAATAGCCCAAGGTCTGACCTTGCAGGGACAGTTGTATCATTGCCTCCATACTCCTGGACTTAGCTGAGCCCTTGTGACAGAGAAAGCCTCACTCTGAACTCCCCATCTAGCAAAGAAAAAAAGAAAAAGTATTTTCCACTCAATATTCTTTGAATCAGGGATTCGTAATTGTGCAAAAAAGCATTATATTGTATTCCTATAGCACTGCTATTTTTTTGTACTCAATAAGAAGTTGGCTTTTCAGCTGGGGCAAATCGTCAGCAGAGGTGAGCCCATTTCCCCCAGGTGAAGACCTCCCCCCAGCCCAGGCGCACAGCCCCGTCCCCCCGAGCAGCCCCTCTCAGCAGTCCTGCTCCCAGGGCCGGCAGCTCCTTGGCAGATGGCTGCCGGGCCCTTGCTGAGAGCAAGGCTTGCTGGGGTCAGCGATGCAAGTTTTTGATTCCTTTCATTATTACAATGCACAAAAAAAAAGAGAGAAAGGGAGGCATCCTGCACCTCTGAGAAAGAAATTAACTCCACTTTGAAGCGAGTTGCGAAACGAGAGGGGAAAAAAGACGCAAGAATGAAATCTTCCAACTATAAGTGAAGCTGTGCCACGCTGCTCGTTGATGGGGCTGAGTCCCCTTATGGCTGAAAAAATGTATAGTCATCTCTTGCCTCAAGGCTGTTTGCAGCCCAGTAAATGAACTTGTTCAGTTTAATTGGAAGATGAGTAGTGATTGTATTTTTGTAACCTATTAGGCTGCACTGCCTTTTGGTCTAGGATGGCACTCAAAATTACAGTCTGGAGTATGAGTGAGGGCCTCATTTCTACTCTCCCTTCATCTTGATTAAATAATGATTTGAAACAAAAAAAATCCAATAAATATCTATCTTGGGTTCCCTTGAGGGCAGCAGTAGGTCCCCTGCTGAAAGCTGGAGGAAGCAAAGTTCACTGAGATTATTTAATTACTTATTGGGGGGGGGGGGTGGGTGGGAGGGAATCCAAATGTTCACATAGAGAAAATTAGATTCATGAAAGAGCAGACTCTTTTAAGACACCCTAGAAAAATAAAAAGCCATTAGAATTCATTTGAGCTCCGCACGCTGTTTTCAGATGTGGTGCTCCATTTCCATCTTGTGTGGCTGGCATGACTTTCAGAAGCAGTAAAATGGGACCAGAAGCAAAGTCAAGGTTGTCAGACGGGGAATTTGTCTGAGCAGACAGGCAAGTTGAGCACTTTGAAGCTTGTCCTGGCTCTTGCCACAGGACTGAAATTTCCCCCGGAGCCTGCAGGAAGCTACTGGCTGTAGCCTGCTGCCCCAAGGTGGTGGGGCTGGGAAGTTGCTGTGTCCCCCCCTCCCAGCACCTGCCTTGCCTCAGCCAGACCCTCCAGCCCTCACAAGGACTGTGGGCTCCATGTTTCACTGATATCCACATGTTGCCTCTTCCCAGAGTGCTGCTACCACAGACGCTGAGCTACAGAGGAGCTTGTTGATCCCCCGGTCATTTGACAGATTTTGTGATGTGCTGACAACAGTCGCTACTTTGAAGGCAGACTTCAGTGAAGGCAAGGCAAAAAACATGCATCCCAGGTCCCAGCGGCAGTCTTAAAAGCTGTTTTATAAATGCTAAGAAACCGCAGTATTTCTTGGCAGAAATAAAGGCCTTTTGGTTTAGACTAGGATGAAACAGAAGCAAAGTGTTTGCATGCGCGACGCTGGGGTCAGCGTCCCTCGGAGCAGCCCCGTGACTGCTCCAGGCCTTTCCTACCTCTGTTGCCAGGGAATACCTCGCATGGTGGTTTTATGCCTGTAAATGAAAGGCAGCCAAAAGCTGTTTGTCTGTGGGTTAGGGTTCAGACCTAATGCAAGCCTTAACCCATCTTTTAAAAAAATACCTGGTGGCCATATTTGAAAGTGCAACCCTGTATCTTCTGGGATGTGGTTGGGGAGAGCAAGGTTGTCCTTTAGTGAGGAGGCCAGTCCTCTTGGAGTTCTGGATGTGGCATCAGGGTTTCAGAAAGAACTGGTTAAAAAATGGAGCTGGGTACCCAGCTCTCTTTTGCTCCTCTGACGTTCTAATTTCTCCTGGAGTGAACAAGGACTGGTAGAGAAGTGCTAGAGCTGAGAAGCAGCAAGGAGCAGTACCAGATGCTGAAATGAGGACTTGCAATGTGTGTTTCCACTCCTTCCTAGCTGGGAACGTTTGGGAGAGAACATTCTGCTCTGTCCAGGGCTTCTGCATTGAAGGTGCAAGCTGGCTAGTGAAGAAGGATCACTTCATTTCCCAGGTCTGCTGCTGGGGCTCCTGATGCCTCCGAGTTAGGACTGAGCGTGGCTTAGAAGTTATGGGCTGGGGACGGGGGAGTCCCCAGCTCCAGTATGGATTTGCTGGGATGAATGAATTCCTGTGCCTCTGTCCCTTATCCCAGAAGCAGTTATGCCTCCCTCCCTGGCAACATAGGAAGTACTTGGAGATCCTCCAACTCCAGGTATTTTCGGAGCGCGAGGATGTGGTGGGCAGCTCCCCATCCTGCAGGCTGCGTGCTGAGAGCCGCCCTGTGTGTCGGCAGTGCCGGACTGGTTTCACTCGCTGCTGGTTCAGAACACGGCTGAGTCAGCCGTCCCTGTCCCAGTTAGCACCTCCTGAACTAGGTCGAGAGCAGCCCCCCTGCCCAGGGACACAGACCAGATGCCGTGGGCGGGAGGGTGGATGTGGAGGCACCATCTGATGGGATGAAGGAGCTCCACGTAAGCAGTGACACCGGCTGGGTCTGTAGCCCCTCTGCGGATGAGAAATAGCCTCAGCCGGTCCAGGGCTAAGCTCTCCAAAGGGACTGTCCCTGTCCCTGCCGTGTGACGGCTGATCCAGCTCTTCCCTGCTCCCTGAGATCTTGCCAACATTGCAATGTGGTTTTTCTCGGCTCGGAATACCCCAGGTTTGTGAGGGCATGGCCCAGGCCCGCAGTGTGGAGAGCGTGGCACAGAGGGAGGGCACTGTGCCCCCCAGAGCGTGGCGTGAGGACGTGTGCAGGTGTTTGAGGGAGCACAGCTTGCTGGGAACCTGTTGGAGGACTATCCTGAGCAGGGGGGACCAAACCTATGTGTCCATGCTCCGAGGACCCTGGACCAAACCTTACGGGTGGGAATGAGGAGAGCAGAGCATCAGAGTGAAAGAGGAGGAGGCCACACGAGAGTGCAGATGTGCTGGGACTGTGTTTGGCCCTAATTCTCACCCCACTGCGAGGGCAGATGTTAGTCTCACTCCCAGCGCCGGTACATTCCTGGACTGGCTCAGGTAACAGCCAGTGGAGTTAAAACTGAACGATAAAATACTCAAATGGTGTAAATCCCCTTGGTGGTGCTCAGGGTCCCAGACAACAGCCCTGCCGAGGGTAACCTGTGTGGGTTTGGGGTCCTTGTGTGCTGTTGGGGCCAGCAATGCACCAAAATCCAGCCAGAATATGGCTGAACCCCCACGCAGAGGTTGGCAGGAGCACAGGGCCCTCATCCCCTTCCCCATAGGTCTCCAGCGCAGCACAGGGGGGGGATATTTTTTCTCCTCTACTTTATTTTTTTACTTCTTCCCTCACTTGAGTTCCCTTTGTCACTTCCATGAAACCCAAGGGGATTTAGTGCAAGCTGCGACTTTTCAGCACAAGCTATCAGCCTCCAGGAACGGGCTGGAGGGCCTGATTTAAAGCAGAAGGAAACAAAATGAATAATAAGGGAGACAAGCAAGCAGACAAAAAACAGTCGTGACATTTGCATAGAGGAGGCGAGCGAACAGTTGGCAGTGTGGATTGAAGCGAGAGTTTATGTTTTTTTCATGTAATTTGAGACTCTAATGATGGACTTATGTTGTTTTTCTCTTCCTTTTTTCTTACACCTTACCTACTAAAGGAGGAGTTCTTGATGGGTAAGTGGATGCTATCCGCAAGACACCAGGGAATTTATTAGAGGTCACTCGAGCGCATTAGCTGTATCTTCTTCAGGGGGAAAAAAGCACACAAAGAAGTATCTGTATACCTTTTATTTCCAGAGGGTTTTTTTCTTTTTTCCCCTCCCCCTTCCTTTTTTCTTTTTTTTTTTTTCTTTTTTAGTTTCAAAGTGATAAGCTTGTTTATTCGCCAGTTTTTACTTTGTACAGAAGCCCTTAATTTGATTTGATTTTTCTTTGCTTATTTTAGTGACATTCATTCAGCCTCTTTATTAAGGAAGCTTAAATTCCCTCATTTAAGATTTTGTTTCATTTTTGTTTTCTTTCCAAGGACTGTGTAGGTTTTTTTATTTGTATATACCCATTTCTTTTTTTTTTTTCTCTCCCCCTCTTTAAGGTAAAATAAGGGCTTTGTCCTCTGTTATACCTTTTTTTAGTTAGTTATTTTGATTCTTTGGTTGCCCGTTTACTTTGTCGAACTCTTTTGTTTAACATGAATCGCATGCTGATACTCTTTGCATGATCTCTGAATCTTCCCATTATCATAGCAGGGGGAAAAGAAGTTTCTTCTTACTGTGGATTTCTTTCAGGGATATGTGCTTTTGTTTTCTTCTCCTCTTTCTTCTCTTTCTTTCTTTCTTTCTTTCTTACTTTGTTTCTTTCCTTTCCTTTTGTTTCAGTGCATCATGATGGTAAAATTTCTGAGTTTATTTTAAAAAAAAAAAAGCAAAGTAAAACCAAAAACAAACCCCCCCCCCCCAAAAAAAAACCCTTCAAACAATGCCAAATGGCTTTTTTGCTTTCAGATCTCTCAGTCAGGGTCTTCTGCTGACCTCTTTACCAAAACAGACAGCCCGCCTGGCAACCTAGCCAGCCAGAACGGAGAGTATCATGAATATGACTCAGGAAACGATACTTCCTCCCCTCCCTCCACTCAAACGAGCTCATCCAGGTCAAAGGACAGCCAGGAGAAAAGAAGTCTAGTCCATGATGGCTTTGGCCATGCCTTCTCGTCCGGGAAGCCCAAACTGGCCAACAGCGGTAACAGCTCTGATTCAGGAAATTCCTTCACCAGTTGCTTTTCCCAGACCAAGGGAACAGCTTTGGAAAATCTGTCTCCAGATGCCCAGGGACAAGACCGAAGGTCAGTGATTACCAGTAGCTGCTGCTGGCAGCCCAGTACCTGGTACGTTGTTGCTCTGTATCTCCTGCCCGCTCGCCAGTTGCAGCGGTGAGCTGGCAGGGATGTTCTTGTGGTCTGGAGGCAGTTAGATATGAATCAGACCCACGGTCTTGCCAGTCTGGAGTCCAGAACCCAGCAATGACCAATCCTGTAGCCTGAGGAGGAAGATGAAAACCCATCCGTCACGCTCCTGGGCATTGCCTGTGCCTGCTCTTCTGGCATTAATGAGCCTAATGCAGGGTTTGGCCCTGGGTCGAGCCGTGTCCTGAACACATCCCTGCTCAGCTGGATGTGACCATGTCAGAGAAAAGAATCTCTGGCCCTTCTGGGCAAAATCTGAAAGGTGCATCGGGGGTTACCAGGCTAATCGTCCCCCTTTGTTTACTGCAGGGAAGGGAAGCGGGGTTCTTTTCCACTAAAACCATTATGGGCTGCTCTTTCACCTGTCCAGTGAGCCAAATCCAGCCTGTCCCTTCCCAGCTCGTTCAGGACTGGTCCTGGGTGACAAGATAGCATCTCCGGCAGATGGGGAGCACAGGGAGGGGCAAGCACTCGCTGGCTGCAGGATAACCCAGCAGCAGCTCTGTGCGCTGGGGCCACGGGGCATCAGGGCTGGGGGCAGGAGTTAAGCCACCATCTGGTGCCACAGGTGATCGTCAGGAGAAGGGAGTAGATGCCAGGCTCCATCACCACCTCCCGTTCCTGGGGGTTTGCCAGGTGATGTTGGGGGTGAAGGCACTGAAGCGCAGTGGCTGGTACCCAAGGCTGTGCTCAGGCAGTGGTGTCAGGGAGCTCTTCCAGCTCAGGCCCTTGGGTCTTAAAGGCTGAAAGTGAGAGCCAGGATGTGGTCTGGGGGTGGGAGCACTGAATGAGAGAGAAGAGGGAGCCAGGGGAACCGGTGTTAGGAAGAACAAGCCCTCGATTTTCAGTCAGAGGGTAAAATTTTAGGGCTGTATGTCCTTCTCACATTGTGACTCCAGTGGGGTAACTCTGCCTTCATATGGGTGGAGCTGGGATTGCAGCTGGCCCTGGGTGTTGGAAGGCTGCCTCGTTGCTGGGCTCTAACCCCCAGTTCATACCCAGGGCACTTCTGGAAGCAGAGGAATACACGTAGCTCTGTCCAAAGGCAACAGGACGTGCCCGCTTGTGCTGCTCCACAGCCAGGCTGGAGCACAGGCCCGTGCCCTGCCATGCTCTGGCTTTCCCTCGCTCCAGCACTTCTCACCTGGCTCGCTCCCCAGGACCTGCACTGCTCGCTGGCCTGACCCAGGCTCTGCCAACCAGACATCTCTGATGTGTTGGGCATGGGGCAGAAGAGCTGTCCCTCACAGCCCCTAAGACCTCTTCCACAGCCCTTCCTTGGCACAGCCTGGAGGGTGAGCTCTTGGGCTCTGACCCACACACTCTCCTGCAACAGCAGCCTGGGGAGCTGGAAGGTCTTTTTTGTCCCCAGCTGGGGAATGGGAGGAGGGGAGTACTTGTCGGCTGGAGTGTGGTGCTCCCCTCAGCCAGGGACCAGTCCCAGCTCAGCCACAGCTTCAGTGACTGTCCAAATATATGTTCACAGAGGGTGCCTGTCCTTCTGTCTCAGCTGTTCGGAGGAGAAGCAGCGAAACTTCTTCCCATCCCCAACCCACAGCTCCCCGCTGAGGCCATGCTCCCGCAGCGAGTCCTACACCAGCACGGGCAGATCCTCCCCTGGCTCCAGCCGCTCCAGCCGCTCCCACTCCTCACACCACAAGGCCTCTCCCAGGTATTCCAGAAGCAGGTCCTGCTCTTCAGGAAAGAGGTAAGGCCAGCCAAAACTGCTGTCTCTGTGGCCCTGGGCAATGTCTAACTCTCACAGGCTGGCAGGCTTCTTGCAGGGGGAGGTGTAAGGGTTTGGGGGGGGGCGTTGCTTAGGGCTCCACATGATTTGCAGTGATATGGCCACACAGAGCTGAGCCAAGACCCTGAAATACGGGGCATCTCTTCCCCCCCCCCCCCCCCGCCCCTGAGCCCAGACTTGGAGGAGTCTGGTACAGCCTCATTCTCCAGTGTCTTTAACTCTTTGATGGTTCTTGCTTATCCCCAGGTCTTCTTCGCGTTCCCCCAGCTATTCCCCCAAATCCTGCAAAAAAAGTCCTGGGAGCAGGAGTTCAAGGCCTCGTCGGAGCCCCAGTTATTCCCGCTACAGCCCTAGCAGGTACAGCTGCCTCCTCACGTGCTCTCTGCTGCCTCATGCTTTCCCGCTGCCTCCATCACTTGTTTGGCCTCCAGCACACTTGTTGGCCTCTGCCAGCCCCAAACTGCTCCCTCAGCTTCCTCATTGGGCACTTTAGTCCTCAGCGCCAGGGTGAGAGGGAGCAAGGGGACACGAAGGCAGGCATATGGCAGTATGTTATGTTGGCCCTCAGTCCAGTGGAAATTTCTCACCATTTATTGCCCCAGAACCGGTGCTGGATGCAGAGGGAAAAGCCCAGAGATGAGCCTCTCGCTTTCTGTGGGAAAAGTGGATTTCCTATAGCCAAGGACTGCCTTGCGTTGGTTCAGGGGAATTTCACACAAAGCGCTTTTGGGGGTAGGGTGCTGGGAAGGAGACCAGGTTTATCCCTGGCTTTGAAGCATCGTGGTGTCTCATACTTAGAGCGTGTGGCAGGTGAAGTGGCTGTTCTCTGCTCTGAGCCCTTGCGGGGGGGACACACACTATGCAGCCGAGAGTGCCCGGATGGCTGCTCAGTGCTGTTTGCCAGGGCCTCACGCGAGTGGGAGATGCCTCGTAGGAAAACCCGGGGAGCGCCCCTCTCTGTCATGCTGGTGTGAACGGCGGGCAGAGCGTTAGGCTCTGGTTGGGTGCGCCCACAGCCTTCACCGCCCGAGGAGCCCGCGACGGCCCCCAGCCCCTGCAGGAGGGCTGCATCCCTTGTCAGAAAGGGATCTTACTGCAGCAGGGCAAGACACTCCGCTTTTCAGAGCTGCGGCTCTGCCGGAGAGCTGTCAGGCCCTGGGAAGTCCCCTGCTGCACAGGCAGAGGCCGGGTACCCTCGCGCTGGCACTCACACAGCCTGGCAGAGGGAAACAAAGTCCAGGCGACTCTACTCCCTCCACACCCCATAGAAAACACACGTCTCACAGCTCAGCCCTAGAGATGCCTTTGGGCAGGTTTTTCTGGTAACATCTCTGCTGCTGCGAACATTTTGCACCCTTAAATTTTACATTCCCGGAGTCTGACTCTTGCAGGCCGTGACAATCCCTTCACCGGTGTAGGAGAACATTTCCTGCACGCAGGGATCCGGCCCTGGACCTGTAACGTGTCGCTTTGCAGATGGCATTGAGCGGGGTGTGTGAAGTCAGCTGCACTCCACGAAGGGCTTGTGCTGACGAGTAGGGGAATTTAACACAAGAGAAAACCATAGCAACCCGGGCGCTCCTCCTGGCGAGCAGTGCAGCCCCGCAGGGATACCGGGGCCCTCCGCTCACGTGGGACCTGCTGGCAGGGTTGTTCTCTCCTGCTTCTGCAGCACGTCCAGCAAGAACAATTTTAGTAGAGCTAAAGACAGAGTGCACCCACAGACACAGTTACACGGAAAGCATCGCAGCTTGGCAGCGCAGGGCCACCAGGAGACACTGCTGAAACCCCCACAGGCAATTAGAGGGTGTCCATCTGTCCAGCCAGATGAGCGTATCTTTGTCCAGCCAAGCGAGCACAGGGCTGATGCCAGCAGAGCACTTTGCTTCGAGTAGTCCCTTTTTGGTGCTGAGTGTCCTCTGCTCACCTGTGCCTTCATGGGTCACTGCCTCCACACCCCACAAGAACCCAGCAGTGACCGTTTCCAATCCGCGCCTTTCCCAGAGACCGTGACCGAGAGCACAAGTACGGCTCCAGCGAGAAGGAGTCGCACAGGGAGCGTGACCGGCAGCGGCGCCGGCGGTCCTATTCACCCCTGAGGAAGCGCAGGAGAGACTCTCCCAGCCACCTCGAAGCTCGGCGCATCACGAGGTAAGGGGAGGTGGTCCCGTCGTTTGGAGACAGGCTCAGCTGGCCCTCCCTAGGGGGACGTGGGATGTCCCTGGGCCCCAGCCCTTGCCAGTGGAGGTTTCTCCAGGGAGAGGCCAGTTTCCCTGAGCCTGATCAGCAGGCCCTTTCACGCCTCCTGGAGCTTGGGCTTTCCAGCTAGAGGCAGAGAGAGGTTGGGGGGGGTCGGGGTCTTGTTTACAACAGCTGAAGAAAAAAGGCAGATGAAGTCAGAGCAGGGACTCGCCCGTCAGATGTCAGGAGCATCCCCTTGCTGGCTTTTTGTTTCACCCTCTCCTGTGGTAGATGTCCCAAACTGGAGAGAGAGAGTCAAATACTGACTCTGACCCTCAAGCTGAGGTCTCTTTGGGCAACATCAAGCAGAGCCCAGCCTCAGACATTCCCAGGCCTCAGACATTCCCAGGCTATGGAGGTGGGTGGTTTGAATCCCCAAGGCTGTCAGCCACCTGCTTTCCTTTTTTTTTTTTTCCTTTTAAACAAACACAATCACATTTTTGGGGAGTCTTGTGCAGAGTAAACAGTGCTTCTTGGAGATTTCAGCAGCAAATCCATCCTTGTGTTGCTGGTAACCCCCTTGTCTCTGTTCCCACAGTGCCCGCAAACGCCCCATCCCCTACTACCGTCCCAGTCCCTCCTCCTCCAGCAGCGCCAGCAGCTATTCCTCCTGGTACAGCAGCTTTAGCCGCTCCCCGAGCCGGAGCAGAA